AAGGGGGTGAAAAGTTACAAAAATGTTTATGTGTTGTGATGAAGGTTGGAAGTCATTTCTTTATATATATTTTTTTCTTCTTTTGCACTTTTTTTTTCTATTCCTTTTAGTTTGTATTAGATTTTACTATTGTAATTGAAATTCTATCGATCTAATTTACTTCAAGATCAGCGATATCAATAGATCAAATGCAAGACCTGTCTGCTGTTTTATATACTAGCAATCCATGTACAGAACATTTAGGAAATACCTGGGTTTGAAAAATATCTGAGTACAGTAAGCCTACATTAGAAAATGCAAAAATATATATATTCAAGCATCAGTAAATGCATAGGTGATTCCATTTTCTTATATACCTCCTTTAAATGGTTTGTGCTCACTTCCAAATAAACATGAACACTGACATATCCATTGTTTCATAAGTCTGTGGAAATCTAATCCATACGTTCACTTCTGTGTCTTAGAAATGGATTGTATACTGTTAGCTTAAGTATGAAAAAGCTTGTAGTTCACTGCTGTGACCCTGGAATGGAGACAGAGAACCAACCAGTTTCCTTCTTAGTGTCAATGGAATAGTGTGAAAGAATATGGATACAATAAATAGTATTTATTATATATGCTGACATTATCTAAAAGGATAGGACCCTACTGGTGTGAAAAGTAGAAGAGAGGTCATTCCAGTAGTTTATCAAAAGCATTCCAGTGCAAGGATCATATTCTAATTTCAATATTCCTTTTATCTTTCTATTGCATAATAAACCAAACATATATAATCTGCAATCTTGCTTTGCTCCAGGCTCTTCTGCAATTCTTTAGCAAGGGGCCCAGTGATCACTGTAGTTTGTGCATGCCAATTAAAGCGTTTTGTTGCACCTATCTCCAATTTTATTTGAGTATTTTTCTCACATGCCCATGAAACAGCCAAGACACAAACTTACGAAGCAGAGATGTGCAAAACATATCACACAACTCGGTATAAGGTGGCACACGCACCTCGAAGCATGTATTCACTTGCCTACACATGGATCTGAAAGACAAGCTCCAGCACTTTTTCTCTCTTTTATTCAGGCACACAAGATGGCGTGATGCACTTCAAGTTCCTGGCTCCCATCACTCCCCACAACCACCACCCTAAAAGGCAAGCTGAGTTGAGGCTGAGTAACTCAGTCAGCCAGAGCGCTTCTAGGGATGAGGCAGCAGGGAGAAGGCTGGCAGTGCATTGGGGGGGGGGGTGGCACAAGCTTGCTGGGTGGTGCAGCTGAGGGGCCTGTCAGGCGAACAGAGCAAGATCAGCAACCAAGCCAGTGCAGTTATGATGGAGGAAGAAAAGGACAAGGTGTACCAACCTTGCCTTTCTTGGCCCTGAAGGCTCCTCTGGATTTGCCTCAGCCCAAACCAGGAAAACCTAAATGATCCCACATTTCACCTTAAGACCATGATCTGCCTGGGATGCTCCAGCCAAACTTTTGAGGAATGTGCATTTGTTCCATGTACTGAACGACGCACATTTTCTGCTTTGTGCACATCCCAAATGTGAAACCAGGAACAGGTGATTGTAGTAAAAACAAAAAAGGAAAGACACCCTCCAAGTGACATCCAGCAGAAAAAGACAGCTCAGATCAGTTATGTGTAGGAACACAATTTGACTTAATATGTGTTGCGTATACTGTTATAACTCACATTAAAGCTTTTAAAAAAGCAGAAATTAGAAATACCAAAAAGCAATACTACATGAATGGGTTGGTGGAAAAGCAAGCATTCCACAAGAAATTCCACAACATGGGTCCTTGGGCAAATGTAAGTGATCCGGTGTGTATGACTGTAGCGCAACTCATACAGGAATGCTCTCTTCCCATAACAAAGCAGTGAAACTATTTAAAATACTAAACTTTTATTTTCACATTTACATTTAGTCTTTCCGTTCCCAGATCACCACTACTATGCATTATCAAAACATTCCATACATATTTTAAATGAAAAGGGTGGAGTCCCAGTATTAAAAACTGAACAGGTATTGTGGACCACACATTCTTGCCAAAACAATCTGGACGACATTAATCAGACTCTGGAGAGAAAGCTTCAGTCAGGTATTAATGGTTAAACACACAGGACTGTAATTTAAAAAGGAGCCATTTAACTTCTTGCTTACAAAGACTGCCTCCATTGCCAGAGCTCTTGAACCACCTAGAAACATACACAGGGAAGTTAGCTTTATCTGAATCTTCTACTGAAATTCGTAGTCTTACAACAGCATAAAACTTGTGAATAATCACATATTATTTAGTAGATGTAATGCCTTCAAAAATATTCATGGGTACGGAATATATTGAAAACTTCTCCAGTTATAGGTTTACTACAGACGCATATGCAGGAATTCCAAGTCTGTGCTCATTTTGAAAAAAGTTTGCCAAATGCTCCATCAGGTCACAAAGTTTAAAATTATTCAGTGTATTTTCCCATTCACAGCTTACAAAGCATAGTAAAGGAAAGCAAAGGGAGTGTATCAGGCAATTAACTCAGTTGACTTCTGTCTTGCCCTTCAGTATTTTAACTAAAACTTTCAAGCATTTTCCTTTAAGTAGCTACAATTTCACTCAACTCTCCTTGACAGGTCTGAATTGCTGAGGGGGAGAAAAACATTGCTTCAGAAATTTTAGATTTACAGATCTAACCCAATAAACTTGTTCCTGACACTAGTATCACCACTTCCTAGCATGTT